GCGCTCCAGCTCCTGCCGGCGGGGGAGCGGCTTGCCGCCGGGCGTTGCGCGGACCTGCTTGGCCCACGCCTCGAGGAAGCTGAGCTTGACCATCCTCACCGGCGCCATCCCGCCGGCCGGGCCCGGGCGGAGCTGCGAGAGCAGCCCCTCCACCGAGTGGTAGAGGGAACTGTCGTGCGCCGCGACAGAGTAGCCGGCGAACCACTCCTTGGCCCACGCCGCCGCCTCCTCGTCGGTCGCGGCGTGCGGCGGCGGCGGCACGAACGCCAAGGCGGCTCGCGCTCCATCTGCTCCGGCGCGGGGGCCGCGACCTCCAGCTCGATCGTCGTTGTCGTCATTGCGCTGCAGATACACGCTGCAGATACACCTCCCTCAGGACAGACGGACAGGCGGCAGCAGCGCCGAGCCCTTGGGGTTGGGGAGCCGCAGAGGCCAGCGTCGCCCCTCCTTCGCCGCCTCGCGGCGAAATCACGCACGCTGCCGAGGGAGGGCCCGCCGGGCCGCGCCAACCAGCAGCGCTCCTGCGAGAAGGAAGACGCACGGCGCCGCCGCGGCACCTCACGGTGTGCCTGTGATAGTGCTAGCACGCGCCAGATCGCACCTGTGTCGAGCCTGTCTAGGATGTAGAGTGTAGAGCACTGTACAGTGGGTTGCGGGCATTAAGAAAACAGGATTCCGCGGCACGCCGCCGTTTCTAAGCCTTTCCACAGCCCTCATCCACCCCACGCCGTGGTTTCTTAGCTCCGGGCGGGGCACTCAATCAAGCCAGAGCGCCGGCCCGAAGGATTTTTAGGTAAGTAAGAGGTAAGCTGTAAGCTGCCGGTCCGCGAGGGCGATGCCAAGAGTCTGCCGCCGAGTCGGCTCTCTGGATGAGGGGAAGACGCACACACGCCTCCATCCACTGACCACTCCACTCAGAACACCGCAGACTTGAAAAGTGACAAGTGCGCTGCCGCAGGCCCAGGCGAAGAGAAATTTTGAGCTGCAGCTGGGGCTCCGGACCCGTTCACACTCGTGTCTGGCCTTTTCTCGGGGCCGCGCCTGCGGCGCCCCGTGGTTTCTTAGATTTTTGCGGAAATCGCTTGGTAGGGTTTCTTAATGCGACGTTTTCTTAATGCCCGCAACCCACTGTACTAGTAGAGCTGTAGAGCTGTAGAGATGTAGAGCGCTGGAGAGCGCTGTAGAGCTGTAGAGCTCTACATCCGCCGCGTGACGAACTGCCTGCGTTGTAGGGCATGTTGTAGAGCGCGATTTTGCTGTAGATAGAGTTTGTTGTAGAGGCTCTACATACAGCCAACCCGCCGGGAAGGCAGTGACTCAAAGAGGTCGAGCCGCGCTAATGGGGTGTCTCCGAGCTTACTGGACTCCAGTCTGGAGCTCTGATGGACGGCCCTGACTATCCCTGACACACAGAGAGTCACTCTGACGGCACACGACACCCTATAACTGCGTCATGACCAGCCTGCCATATAGACGTCGCCGGTGCCGCATTCGTCGCTGTGCTTCTTTAGCAGGCGAGGTGGACTGTCGGCTGCGAGTAGAAAGGGCCGTAAAGTAAACACGGGTCCCCGAGGGTTGGCTCTGCGCTCCGGTTTCCCCTAGCTGCGGAACGCCCCCTCTACACAGGGCTAGTGGACACCAGACACTAGCACGACAACACACACACTCCTCACTGACGTCACCACTCGGAACCCCCCGCTCCGCGCACGGTCTCGTCACCCCCACTCCGAGGGGGGCCCTCCTTCCCCTCGGTCCTCCCTCCTGTTCGCCTTCCGATGGTCACGCGACGACTGTGGGGCCCGGCCTCCCCTCCTAGCCTTCTTTGGCCGCGGCCCCGCCGCCGTTTCGTCCTCTCTGCCCGATCCCGCTGACTCCGCCTCCGGCGACCCCGCTCCCGACCCCCTGGGCGAGGACGGTGGCATTGACTTCCACCTCCGGGAGGTCGAGCCCGCTCTCCCTGGTCGACGAGTCGCTCCCGCACCCGCGGTCTCTCTCTCTCTATCGTCCTTGGCTCGCCCCCCCCCTCCGCCGGCTCCTCTTCAGGCTCGGGGAGGCGTGGCCCTCCCTGTTGAAGATCGCGGTGATCCGGATGCCACTGCGACGGGCCTTCCCCCGGTGAGCTCGTACGTCCCGACTCCACTCGCAGAGGCCGCGTCAGCTCATCTCTCGCCTCCTCCGACAGCTGACCCCAAGCCCCCCCTGGGGCCCTCCGGCCTCGGCCTTCCGGCTCGCCGGCGGGCCCGCTATCGTATTGCGGCCCCTCCGGCCTCGGCCTTCCGGCTCGCCGGCGGGCCCGCTATCGTATTGCGGCAACTCCCCTCCCCCAGCTCCTCCTCCCGGGTACTCCAGCCTCCGGCGGGGCAAGTTCGGGCGGCGGATTTTTTTCTCACGGCGCAGAGACACCGCACGCTCAAAGCACTGACGCCGAGCGCGGCCCATCGGCCAACCGCCCTCTCCTCTCCCGCCTCTGCGCATCCGCCCACCCACAAGAACATGTCCGAAGGGAGCAGCGAGGCGGCGCAGCTGTCACCAAAGTCTGTCGCCCTCAAGGCCTTTGGCGCGCTCAAGGAGATGGGCGAGCGGGCCGTCGTCAACACCTCGCAGGACACCATCTTTTCGACGCTCGAGGACTTCCAGCGCGCCGACCCGTCGCTGAAGGCGAGGCCGCACCCACGACAGCCGCGCCCCCACCGCACCGCCAGCCGCCCCGCATCCGCCCGCAGCCGTGCCCAACGGCTGCGGCGCCGGCAGCAAGCAGAGGCGGGATGCGGCTGCAGCCAAGCGAGCTCGCCGCAGCCGCAAAATTGCGGCGCGGCGGCCGCCGAGGGGCCTGCCCACCCTCCCGCGGCGGACCTCCCCACTCTCCAGACCGTCAACCTACCCTCCTGCTACCCGACCGCATTCCGACACAACCCTGCCGACGCATCCCCGCGCTCTGAGCCGCACACAGCCCGCTCTCGTCTGCCTCTCGTCTGCCTCCCATGGACGGCTTGTACACCAGCGCGGACATCACGTAGGTATTGGTGTTGGGGATCCAGTAGCTGCCGTACTGGATGTAGTACATCACGATCAGGATGCCGCTGGTGTTGTCGATCATCGCCGGCCACAGGAGCCCAATCATCAGGCAGCATACCTCGCCGGAGAAAAACCCCCAGAACTGCAGCCAGCTGACGCCGACCCCCTGTAAGATCTGGATCGTGTACAGTTCGACGAAAATGTCGACTATGTCAAGGCTGATGTTTTCCCA